TCGCTGATTTAGATTATAAGATATGATTTATTTAAATTTAAGGCGCCCCCTTAAAGGGCAAAGTCCTGCGTTTTGTGCAAAACCAAACGAAGCTTTTTGGGGCGCTCTATAAAAATGTGCATTACTACTATTCAGTTATTTTTAGTGATTGTGAAGATATACCGCTTTAAAAACTCTTAGGGCCCCTCAGGGGGCAAAGCCCTACTTGAAACCAACATTTTTTCTTCCAATCGATAGTTTTCGAACGTTGGATGTGTACCTTAAAATAATACGCCGATAATTGAAACAGATTTTGAGATATAAATTGTCTAAAAATGTAGGGCTCCTTTAAGGGGCAAGGTCCTACACTTTTTTCGATGCCAACGGACAGGTTTTAACCGGCTCTACCAAAAGCGTAATTTCGACTATAAAGCTATTTTAAACCGTTTTGGAGATATACAAGTTTAAAAACTTGCGGTGCCTCTTTAAGGGACAGAGTCCTAGACATATTCACTATTTTTTGTCTAAAAATACAGCTTTTCAAGCGACTTGAACGCGCATCAAAAAACTATACTAATCGCTGATTTGGATTTTAAGATATGATTTATTTAAATTTAAGGCGCCCCCTTAAGGGGCGAAGTCCTGCGTTTTGTGCAACACCAAACGAAGCTTTTTGGGGCGCTCTATAAAAATGTTCATTACTACTATTCAGTTATTTTGAGTGATTGTAAAGATATACCGCTTTGAAAACTCTTAGAGTCCCTCAGGGGGCGAAGTACTACTTAAAACCAAAATTTCTTCTTCCAATCGATAGTTTCCGATAGAAATCTTGAAAAAACTATGCCGATAATTGAAACAGATTTTGACATATAAATTGTCTAAAAATGTAGGGCTCCTTTAAGGGGCCTAAGGTCCTTTTAAGGTCCTACACTTTTTTCGATGCCAACGGACAGTTTTTAACCGGCTCTATCAAAAGCGTCATTCCGATTATAAAGCAATTTTAAACCGTTTTGGAGATATGCAAGTTTAAAAACTTGCGGTGCATCTTTGAGAGGCAGAGTCCTAGACATATTCACAATTTTTTGTCCAAAATTATAGCTTTTCAAGCGACTTGAACGCGCATCAAAAAACTATACTGATCGCTGATTTAGATTATAAGATATGATTTATTTAAATTTAAGGCGCCCCCTTAAAGGGCAAAGTCCTGCGTTTTGTGCAAAACCAAACGAAGCTTTTTGGGGCGCTCTATAAAAATGTGCATTACTACTATTCAGTTATTTTTAGTGACTGTGAAGATATACCGCTTTAAAAACTCATAGGGTCCCTCAGGGGGCAAAGCCCTACTTAAAACCAAAATTTTTTCCTCCAATCGATAGTTTTCGAACGTTGGATATGAACCTTAAAATAATACGCCGATAATTGAAACAGATTTTAAGATATAAATTGTCTAAAAATGAAAGGCTCCTTTAAGGGGCAAAGTCCTACACTTTTTTCGATGCCAACCGACAGTTTTTCACCGGCTCTATCAAAAACGTCATTTCGACTATAAAGTTATTTTAAACCGTTTTGGAGATATACAAGTTTAAAAACTTGCGGTGCCCCTTTGAGGGGCAGAGTCCTAGACAAATTCACAATTTTTTGTCCAAAAATACGGCTTTTCAAGTGACTTCAACGCACATCAAAAAAACTATACTGATCGCTGATTTGGATTTTAAGACATGATTTATTTAAATTTAAGGCGCTCCCTTAAAGGGCGAAGTCCTGCGTTTTGTGCAAAACCAACCGAAGCTTTACGGGCCGCTCTATAAAAATGTTCATTACTACTATTTAGTTATTTTTAGTGATTGTGAAGATATACCGCTTTAAAAACTCTTCTGGTCCCTCAGGGGGCAAAGCCCTACTTAAAACCAAAATTTCTTCTTCCAGTCGATAGTTTTCGAACGTTGGATATGAACCTTGAAAAATCTACGCCGATAATTGAAACAGATTTTGAGATATAAATTGTCTAAAAATGAAAGGCTCCTTTAAGGGGCAAAGTCCTACACTTTTTTCGATGCCAACCGACAGTGTTTCACCGGCTCTATCAAAAGCGTCATTTCGACTATAAAGCTATTTTAAACCGTTTTGGAGATATACAAGTTTAAAAACTTGCTGTGCCCCTTTGAGGGGCAGAGTCCTAGACAAATTCACTATTTTTTGTCCAAAAATACGGCTTTTCAAGTGACTTCAACGCACATCAAAAAAACTATACTTGTCGCTGATTTAGATTACAAGATATGATTGATTTAAAATTTGGGCGCCCCCTTAAAGGGCAAAGTCCTGCGTTTTGTGCAACACCAAACGAAGCTTTTTGAGGCGCTCTATAAAAATCTTCATTACTACTATTCAGTTATTTTTAGTGATTGTGAAAATATACCGCTTTAAAAACTCTTAGGGTCCCTCAGGGGGTAAAGGCCTAGTCAGAACCAAAATTGCTTCTTTTCAATCGATAGTTTTGCAAACGTTTGATATGAATCTTGAAAAAACTACGCCGATAATTGAAACAGATTTTGAGATATAAATTGTCTAAAAATGAAAGGCTCCTTTAAGGGGCAAAGTCGTACACTTTTTTCGATGCCAACCGACAGTTTTTAACCGGCTCTATCAAAAGCGTCATTCTTATTATAAAGCTATTTTAAACCGTTTTGGAGATATACAAGTTAAAAACTTGCGGTTCCCCTCTTGAGGGGCAGAGTCCTAAACAAATTCACTACTTTTTGTCCAGAAATAGGGCTTGTCAAGCGCAAAAATGTTCATTACTACTAAGTATTCAGTTATTTTTAGTGATTGTGAAGATATACCGCTTTAAAAACTCTTAGGGCCCTTCAGGGGGCACAGGCCTAGTCAATACCAAAATATCTTTGTTTCAATGAGTTTGTGAACAATTGATCTACAGCTGGAAAAAATTACGCCGATAATCTGAATAAATTTTGAAACATGAAGTATTTAAAAATGTAGGGCTCCTGTAGAGGACAAAGTCCTGAGGTGTCGCTGTCTGGTGAGACCTCAATCTCTCAATATGTAAAACCGGGTTTTTGCACGAAATTTCCGCAAATTTTTGGTAAAAATTGCGGCCCATACTTAGAAGAAGATGCGAGGTGCACGTACAAATCTGTCTCTTAAGGAGCCTCAGACTGTGAACCCAAAAAGCGATATCCAGTGTATTTTTTGTAGGGCATATTAAGGAACTGCAGGGGTATTTTAAGGCAAAAAAGTTCCCAAAACTGGCGCAGGAGGTTGCCCTTTAAGAGCCCTACACAATTTCCTCTCAATTCTTCTCCCATGCAGCTAAAGCCTCCCCTGATCACGCCTGCATCTTTATGGCTTGTTACAGAGCTTCCGCTTGCTTACACCTTACTTATCCGGGCGCTTCATCAGTTGATTTCCTCCTCCAGCCTCCTAACGAGTAGTTACTAACCCCAACACCCTCTGAGCATAAAATCATACATCACCTACACTTCAGCCAAGAGATCAGCAATACTTAACATCACCGCACATCAACTTCCCCTTTTCACAAGGGTTCAGGCAAAGGTTTTTCGGTGTCGGTCGCCAGTTTCAACCATGGTTCTCATTGGGACCCTGGTTCCAAACACCGTCATACACGCCCACATTCCACCCTCAGAACCCCGCCGCTCATCCGGGTAAAGTAAGTGTTTTGTGTGCTTTCCATTGTTGTTGCTGTTGTTGTTGTGGTTCCATCTGGAGCAGAGGCTCCATCTGTTCCTCATGGCACAGCTTCATCCAACTAATGAGTGCCATTAATGGAAAGCCCCAGTTGGCAGTTGGGGAGTTTAGGGAACTAAATGAGTGGTTGCTTCAAAGGTTTTTGGAGGCGACGCCCACTTTGATGCCTCTGAAAGCTGGTCGATCAACAGCTACAGAGGGACGAATCTGTTCCAAGTGGCCGCTCATGAGTTCGGGCACTCTTTGGGTCTGAGCCATTCTGATGTGCGCTCAGCGCTCATGGCTCCCTTCTACCGAGGCTACGATCCCGCTTTCAGGTTGGTAATTTTGGCTCGTGACATGGGGGGAGAGTGACTGATGGTCTCCCTTTCAGCCTGGACCAAGACGATGTGTCGGGGATTCAGGCGCTTTATGGGAAGAAGACCACCAAGAGCGCCCCCTCTGGGGATGACGACGCAGGAGTTGGGGAAAGTCAAGATGTCCCCAATACCGTCAACGAGCCAGAGTCAGGTTAGTACTTTTGTGGTTAGGTTTTTCATTGCGCTCCTCAAATATTCAAATGTATGACAATGTCGAACTATGAGAACGAGTGAGACTCTGATTCAATTTTCCACATGAAAAGCGTGTGGCAGTTAGAGTGTTAGTTGTAATTCGAAAAAAATTAGTGGGCAAATATCGGCTTAAAAAGGCGTTTTTACGGAAGTGCATTTGCCGCTTGAAAAATTCATAACTTCCAATCTAAATCTTTCAAAATCCACAGACGAAGCTTGGATGAACGTTTTCACGCAAATGCACGGTCCGCTGCAAAAATTACTAACTTCAAATCGAAAGGAGGCAGAAAGTTGCAACTTCACAACCACAATCTATAGAAAATATTTTACTTTGAAAATTTTATGTTTTGTAAAATTGTGATTTTTGCGGCCTTGGCAAATATGGGCTTAAAAAGGGCGTTTTCACGCAAGTGCACCTGTCTCGATAAAAATTCATAACTTCCAATATACAGCAGGTAGAAATCTGCAGCTTTCACAATCCATAGACGACACTTAAGTCTCTGCATTTTGAAGATTTTGTTGTATTTGGGCTAAATATTAATATGTTCGGACGTGGCAAATGTTGGCTTAAAAAATGAACGTTTGCAGGCAAGTGCACCCGCCGCTTAAAAAAATTCAAACTTCTAATCGCGCAGAAATAGAAACCTGCAACTTTCACAATCTATCGGCGATATGTGACTTAATAAACAGGAATAATTTGGTTGCATTCGCACCAAAGATTGATTTTTGCGGAATTGGAAAATATTGGTTTAAAAAATGAACGTTTGCACGCAAGCACACCTGCACCTATAAAAGTCTTAACTTCCAATTTAGAGCCCCAAGAAAATTGCAGTTTGCCAAATCTATAAAAGACAGTTCAGTTAATACATTGCTAAAAATTTCATTGCTTTCGCGCCAGATCTTGATTTTTGCAGACCCGGCAATTATTAGCCTAAAAAATGAATGATTCCACTCAAGTTTATCCGCCGCTATAAAATGTCCAAAGTTACAATCCAGGCAAACTTGAAACCTACAAGTTTAAAAATATATATAAGCATTTGAGTTTTGAAATCGTACAAGCTTTATTACATTTCAACGAAATTTCGATTTTTAAGGAGCTGGCAAATATTGTCTTAAAACATCAACGTTTTCACGCAAGTACAGGCACCACTAAAAAAACTCCTAACTTCCCATCTATAGCACATAGAAACTCGCAGCTTTTACCATCTATAGAAGACATTTCAGATTGTAAGCTGGCAAAATTTCATTGCGTTGGCACCAAATCGTGATTTTTGCGGCCTTGGCAAATATTGGCTTAAAAAAGGCGTTTTCACGCCAGTGCACCTGTCTCGATAAAAATTTATAACTTCCAATATACAGCAGCTAGAAATCTGCAGCTTTCACGATCCATAGACGACACTTAAGTATCTGCATTCTGAAGATTTTGTTATATTTGGGCTAAATATTAATATGTCCGGACGTGGCAAATGTTGGCTTAAAAAATGAACGTTTGCAGGCAAGTGCACCCGCCGCTTAAAAAAATTCAAACTTCTAATCGCGCAGAAGTAGAAACCTGCAACTTTCACAATATATAGGTGATATGTGACTTTATAAACAGGAATAATTTGGTTGCATTCGCAACAAAGATTTATTTTTCCGGAATTGAAAAATATTGGTTTAAAAAATGAACGTTTTTAGGCAAATGCATGGTCCGCTGCAAAAATTACCAACGTCAAACCGAAAGGAGGTAGAAGGTTGCAACTTCACAACCACAATCTATAGAAAATATTTGACTGAAAATTAGATTTTTTGTAAAATTTTGATTTTTGCGGCTTTGGCAAATATCGGCTTAAAAAGGGCGTTTTCACGCAAGTGCACCTGTCTCGATAAAAATTCATAACTTCTAATATACAGCAGCTAGAAATCTGGAGCTTTCACAAACTATAGACGACACTTAAATCTCTTCATTCTCAAGATTTTGTTGTATTTGAGATGAATCTTAATATTTCCGGACGTGGCAAATATTGGGTTAAAAAAATAACGTTTTCAGGCAAGTGCACTCGACGCTTAAAAACATTTAAACCTCTAATCGACCGCAAATAGAAACTTGCAACTTTCACAATCTATCGGCAATATGTGATTTTATAAACAAGAATATTGGTTGCCTTCGCACCAATGATTGATTTTTGCGGAATTGGAAAATATTGGTTTAAAAAATGAACGTTTGCACCCAAGCACACCTGCCCCTATAAAAACTCCTAATTTCCAATTTACAGCACGAAGAAAATTGCAGGTTTCRAAWTCTATAAAAGACAGTTCAGTTAATACATTGCGAAAATTTCATTGCTCTCGSGCCAGTTCTTGATTTTTGCAGACCTGGCAAATATTGTCTTAAAAATCAACGTTTTCRCGCAAGTACAGGMACCACTAAAAAAATTGCTAACTTCCAGTCTAGAGCCCGTAGAAACTCGCARCTTTTACCATCTATAGAAGACATTTAAGATTGTAAATTGGCAAAATTTCATTGCGTTGGCACCAAATCGTGGTTCTTGCGGACTGGGCAAACATTGACTTAGAAAATGAACGTTWCCRAGGAAGTGCACGTATCGCTATAAAAATTCCTAACTTYCAAGCTAAAGGAGACAGAGACTTGCAGCTTCCAYAATCTGCAAAAGACATTTGCGTTAACAAWTTATGAAAATTTCATTGCATTCACAGAAAATCGYGATTTTTGCSCACTTGGCAAATAGTGACCTAAAAATGAGMGTATTCRCGCAAGGGCACCCGCCGCGGTTAAAATTYCTTAATTCCAATCTAAARGAGRCAGARACTTGCAGCTTTCACAATCTGCAAAAGACATTTGAGTCGGCAAGTTATGAAAATTTCATTGCATTCACAGAAAATCGTGATTTTTGCCCACTTGGCAAATAGTGACCTAAAAATGAGCGTATTCACGCAAGGGCACCCGCCGCGGTTAAAATTCCTTAATTCCAATCTAAAGGAGGCAAAAACTTGCAGCTTTCACAATCTGCAGAAGACATTCGAGTCGGCAAATTATGAAAATTTTATTGTAGGCCTGAGTAACTCAGTGAATTTTTAGGAGTTGGCACAGTGCTACGCAAGTGGCTTGGTGCGCCAACCCAACGCACCGGCGCAGTAACTCAGGGACTGGGAAAAGCGTGTCGCGTCCAGCGTCAAATTCGGGACAAAAACGAAAATAAATTCCTTAAGTTGCCGTATCCCAGCGCCGATCCAACACTAAAAGTTTTTAAACAAAAACGCAAAAAACCATTATTTTCTGATGATTTTCCGCTTTTTTGGCTAATGGGGTCTTCATGTCGAACATTTATGCATCGTAAACAACTAAACTGAAGAAGATTGTTTAAACTCTCAGGCAGTAGAGACACCTCATTGTGCCAAGACCCCACTTTCGACACCATCTTCAACTCGGCCGATGGCTTCACCTACATCTTCAAGGGCAGCAAATACTGGAGACTGACGGAGGAAAGCATCGCCCCCGGCTACCCGAAGATGATCTCTGAAGGCTGGCCTGGATTGGTGGGCAACATCGACGCAGCCTTCACCTACAAGAACGGCAAGAGCTACTTCTTCAAAGGCTCAAAGTACTGGCGGTAAGCGATAGCTTCTGTTACTTCTGGAATGGAAGTATTTTCGTCTTTTCCTCCTGATTCGATAATAATAAATTATTTGTTGTGTCTTCATATCTCGATCAATAAACGCACAAATCCCTTGTTTTCCTTGGCAAAAGTGAAGTTGACTCGAGACATTTCTCAAAGTTAGTCCAAGTAGTTCCAGAATCGGATGATTTAACTGGATTGCATTTGGGAATGTTTTCCGGGCTTTGAAGCCGTGGTCTATGGGAATTTGGGAATTTCTTCCTGACGTTTCGTCCACAACTGCGGTGGACATTATCAAAGGCGATGAGGCAGTGGGCGAAGTGATCTCCCGTGCTTTCCGACT